AGAAAATATGACATTTGTATATGATATTAGGCCCTCAGATCTCGTCAGTTGCCTTCGCCCTATCCTTTATAAATATATATATATATATATATATGAATATTAATTGTAATACCCTTAATGATTTTTAGTTGCAAGCAAATGGTACACGAATGTATTTAACCAACAAGTTGAAGATCGATGAAAATGTCGTGGAAGGAAAGTTGTTCCTGTGCCTTAACAGACCACGGTTATCGACCAGAAATTCGTCACATGGTCGTTGGGTACATCAGGGTGATTTTGGTTGGATCGTCTGGCCTGTACCACCGATGTATCTGTTTCGTAGATATGCATACGAAGTGTGAGTATGTTATAGATAAACTTTACATATCGTTAGTGGAATTTCACTAATGAGTGAAATAGTAACGCATTAAGTTACTTAAGTAATATTAAATAATTACCAAGTTCAAATAATATCTTCCTGTTTTGGTGATAATTATTTGTTGATCAAGAAAAATTTAACTTTCCGTAAAGATAATTGCGAAAAATCCGTGACTCTCCGATTCCACAATGCCGGCTATTTTATTATTTCAATTTATATTGCAAATTGACGATTATTTATTAAGACAATTTGTTATTTTAATTGTCATTTCCATACCTGTTATTCAACCTAATCTAGGGGATTCAAAAAATATATGAATTAAAAAAAAATAACGAATTTTAGTAATTATTTAAAAGTGTAAACATTTTAAAATCAAAAGAGAAGAAGAAAAGGGGGTTTAAAAATACCGTTTATGCACCTTTATTTTATACAGCTGACTAAATAATATAGCTTCATGATGACACTTCATCTTTCGACTAATCACTGAACTTTTTTTTTTTTTTTTGAACGCCGAAAAAATTGAGTAATGCTAATTATGCCTGTACTCGAATCGCATCCTAAATATAGTTGTTTGGGAGGGTACCTCAGGTCGCACATATCACCTACAGTTTTTTTAGAAATTATATTCACTATTAAACTATATGCACGACTATTTTGCACTCATTCTAAAAATCGATTTTATTATAATTTTATCGAGTTATAAATATAAAGTTATTATACTCATTCGGTGTGTTATGACAAGAATATAAATTGAGTTAAAATAACATGTCTAATACTTGTATTTGATTAACTAATCTTATTATAATAGAGAATATAAAATAGATTTACATTAAATATTTTTAAAGATTGCAACATTCACAAGGATACTATAACAATTGAGACAAATTGTTTGTAAAGACGATCCAGGTGATTAAACCAAATATTTACTTCTTTTACATGTTTATTAAAGAATAGATAACATTTAGTAGGTGTTATTGTTTTTAAATTAATCAGGTAAGGAAAACCAAAACATGTTTCGAAACAATCGTCATTAAATATTTCAAACAGGTTCTGTATTTTAAATAAAAGTATTCGGTATTCGGTTTCTAAATAATATTCACAAACGATATTGAAATGTACTCAATCAATGTTAGCTTTACAAGTAGATCAATGTACAATACAATGATTTGCATACAATCAAATTGTAAACATCAATTTAGTATTTACGAAAAAAAAAAAATTGTTAAAAGATGAAGTGGCATACTTACAATTTTTTTTTTTTCAGAACGCCGAAACATTTGAGTAATACTAATTATGTCTGGACTCAAATTGCATCCAACTTTAGTTGTTTGAGAAGGTATCTCAAGTCATACATATCACTTACAGCTTTGTAAATAAATTAGCCCTAAATTTTACTTATGGTATATATAAATACAGATTGTAAATATTTAAAAAAAAAAATTTATAAAGAAAATTATTTAAAAAATGCAAAAAATACAATAGGTCAAACCAAAATTATTTTTTTAAAAATTACTTTTTTGATTTTTTTTCTTGTACTAGTTTTCTAGCATTCTTTAATTGATAATAGCTAAAATTAAAGATATAAAATTGCAATAATTTAACTTATTAAAAAACTGTTTGTCCACTGGACACCGGCCTGTCACCGTTGTGCCTACATCCCCACAATAAATTACAAGTGGTTTATTTGTAGAATTCAGTAATAATTATAGTCTGTAATAACCGTTAAAACTAAAATACTCATTAACTGGAACCTTGCATAGTTTATGTCATACATATTGGCAGCTTGCAACAGTTTTTAAAAAATAATGAGTAATTAAGTATGAATAATAATAAATGTTACTGAATGTGTTGTATCTACAATTGATACTAGTTACCTTGAACCCAATTTTTGCAAGTTAAACACCGATAATATAAGTATACATATATCATTAAGGAACCCTTAATTGTGAACTCAATGAAGAGTAGAGACTGTGTACACATTATGACTTCCAGTTTTTTAGAAATTATATTCACTTACAGACTTTATGCACAAATTAAACTCATTCTAAAAATCAATTGTGTTTTAATTTTATATAATTATAAAAATAAAGTTAAATATTAAGTAAATATAAAATATAATTATAAAGTTAAATTAGGTGTGTTATGTCAAGAATATATCTTCGATGGTTGGTCAAAACGTGATAAGTCAAAATTATCAACTTTTCAGGAGGATTATCTAAACATTCACAAGTTCCATGTAGATCCAAGTTCCATTAAAAATTGCATAATAGATGCACACAAAATATTTGTAAAGAATGCATTATGCAAACAAGGATACTATAACAAAAAGATTCATCTTATATATATTTTTAAAAATGACATGCAAACTTGCCCGATATAACTTGGTTTTATATGTTTAACTTTAAGGACCGAACCCTACACAACGACTTAAAACTTCCAACAATACCTGATCTAGCTACCCAATTCTATAAAAACTTTCACAACAACACTTTCAATCACCAAAATTACGATAGTTAAAAAAAAACAAAAATTTACAACCCAATCCCAACTGTGTGACACTAATAGTGTAGGTATCTCTATATTAGCATACATTATTTTATCAAGCTGGATTTGTCATGCAATATCATGCTAACTACATTCGTCACCGCTGGGTGGCGGACCGCATCTCTTACCTTAGTCCGTCAGGTCGCGGGTCGGCAGCGCGAACCGGTCGCCGCCGCCGTTAGCTGACCACTACTTCCTATGTGGATACCGTTTCGACGATACATTTTGTTAAAAAAAACCATATGTTTATTTTGTTCAAATAAATTTATCCGTAATAACTGAACACCAGTGTACCCTTTATTTCAACCCCCATCTATCTCGACCACAACAAACTATACTGTTTCTCTAAACTAATAATAATCAATTCATTTTTCTAACAGCGATAGAGTGTAATATTCTTTGTTTCAAATTGCACATACCGTAATGATTATCCTGCAGAATCTCAATAAAATTGTTTTATTTAAATTACGAATATACAAAACCAATAATTAATTTAATTTACTAATAAAAATAATTGGAACAAATCGACTTTACCACCCCAGACCCGAATTTCGATTTTTTTTTTTCAATCAATTTGTTTTTTAATGCTAAAAACGATGGCACAAAAAACAAATAAGGACAGGTAGTGTAGATAGTAGATAATCTCTTGTTTTGTTCAGAAAAATCACCTAACATAGGTTTCGAATTAATTAAAATGTCATACGTAAGTATAGTCTCAACGTGTTAACACGTATTATTTTCACTTAGTTCTCTTTCTTTTTTTATTTAAAAAAAATGAGTGAGTTAAATTTATTTAAAAATTACAAATTGTTTGAATTTGAAACCAGAACTCAAATTAACGTAAATGTTTTAAATATGTGTCAAACTTGGACACTAATACATAAGGAAGGCGATTACAAATGTACAAGGAATCATATTATGAAAATTTGTGAACGTAACAATAATATTGATGGCTTTATTTGGAGGTAATTTTTTTCACAACAAACTTAATTTACCGGACACTTTTTTGTTTAGAAATTAATTTGATGCAAAGCGTCATATTTAATTTTTTCTTTTCAATATTTCTATAAAACAAAATGCAATTTAATTCCATGTTACAAATTTTGTTTTTATCAAAATATTAAAATAAAATATAGATTACCTTACATTTATTTATCTAATATAATATAACCGTATATAATTACATTTTTTTGACATTTTGTCCAATACTTAAATGGTAAGGAAACGAAAAATGTTAAATACTGAGTTGCAAATAATACACAATATTTGGCAAAAATTAATTTAGGTGCCATTTTTAGTATGCCAACTACTTCTAAGGTGAATAAATATTAAGTATTTTTAATTATGATACTTTTAAAGTTTTATTTTCCAAGTTATGGCGGAAGTCTGATAAAATTTACCTTTGTAGAAGTAATTTTAGACCATATCAATTGGATGGATTCCATTTTTGTTTTTATGTAAAACTTAGTACTTTTTATTTAGCAATTAGAAAATCATCTGTCGTATTAGAAAACTACTTATAAACAAGTAAAATAAGTAAATGCTTTTGAAAACAAAATTTGAAGAATTCGGTTTAGGTACATACTCCAGTAAATGTCTTGGCGTTTTAGTATTTATTTTTAAAAACTGATGCGTTCTATTATACTTTATAGTTAAATATTTTTAATTTATTTAATTTTAACTTGAAAATTGTGTTTTTACCTGGTGCGTTGATTGAAACGACATACACTTCTTGTACAATTAACTAGTTTTGTATTGTGTTAAAAAAAATATTTCACATCTATAGGCATTATCTGGTTTTTCAATTTTTTAATTGACCGCTCTATGTTTTAATAATATTAAATAAATAGAAACATGTAATAGCAAAAAATTCAAATATTGTAAGACATTTTGACTAGTTCAAAACAAAACTAAGTAATTGGCTACCTAATATTTAAGCAAACACTTGGAACGACTATAATGTTTTTTTAATTAAAACAAATTTGATAATCAACCATAAAGTTTTAGTTTATCAGTCAATTTTTTTTGCTTTAGTGTATATTTTATTTATAACATTTTTTTATAATAAACTAATTGGTTGTTATAGGAACCCTCAAAATTGAACGAGGGGGGAAGTAGGGATTGTCTGGTCCCTGGCAGCAACGGCGGTGGTGCCATTAGACGTGATCGAGGACGTAGGCATTACAGTCGGCCTAACCCGTGCACAGCCGCCTTTAATGGAGCCACATTTAACGGCCAGGTGGTTGTGTACTCTGGGCTGGTGATAAGGCCTTCGTCCTCGTCGCGGCGCAACCGTCGAGGTATCCGGAAAACCCCACGTAGTAAACATAAGTGACATTTATAAATATTAGAAACATTTTCTTTTCTACATTTAATTTGATTGATGTTTTAGGCTGTTACCAGTGTGGGGTCGATGGCCACCTCGCCAGGAACTGCTCGGCATCAGGTCCGTTGGCAACTCATTGTGGCAGTCCTACACCAAGTCCTGCTGGGGTGTCTCAGGTATTGATGTCACTGAACGATCATTCGGAGTGGACGAGTGATTGTTTAGAGCGACGACGGAGACAGCAACATCTGGGACACCGAATGGGTCGACAACAGACTTGACGACCATTGTGACCCATCTGGATATTAACAATCAGACGAGAAATCCAGATGGGGCAGACAATCCACAACAGAAAGCTAGACGGAGGACAGTGATCAAAATGATTTGTCTATAAGGTAAGATAAATTTATGTGCAGGATAATTTAATAATACATTTTCTTTTAAAAACCTATTGAAACTTCATTATTTTAATATTATAAAATAATAAAAAATTGGCTATTTAGAAAACATTCATTTATTTTCCAAAGAAAAATAGTATTTTTTCCAAAACACTCTCATATATATATATATATATATATATATACTTTCTTGTGTTGATATTTACAATAATACTTTATAAGCAATAAGTATTGCATTTGAATTTTTTTTATTTTTTAGTGCTCTGTCCTCCGGCTAGACTTCCTGTTTTTTTATATAAAAAAAAAACAAAAAAAATTATATTTTGTGTTTTGTTAGCTTATAATACTGAGATGTTAAATACTGTTAGGAATTTGTTTTAAAACACAATGATTTCCATTGTTTTCATGTGTTTTTATACAAAGTAGAATGTTAAATACTGTTATGTTAGATCACGTACCTCTTTTGATTTTATTTACTTGTTATTTTTCTTACATTGATATTTTTTAAACTTATATAAGAATTTGTAAGTAAAATACAATGATTTTCATGTGTCATAATGTTTTCATATTTTCATAAATAGATTTAAAATAGTAGGAATGTAGTTTTTAGACGGGCCAAAAAACCATTTTGTAGCAAATTATCCAACGTTTTAGATTAAATAATTAATGAGTATTACTGGTGATACTCAGTAGCTATTTCATAAAATAATTGAGTGCATTTATGATACTCAAGGCGAGCGTGGCAAGTGTATGTGAGAAGCATATTTGATACACAAAGCGCTTGTAGCAGGTTCAAAAAAAAAATTAAAGTCCGTCTAAACACTATAAACTGTGCATCATATAAGATACTCAAGACGAGTTTGGCAATTCTACTGAAATTGATAAGGCAGTTAACTTGTTAAAAAAATACAATTTTTAAAATCTCCTTATAAGGTTATAGTATTATTAAAAGTTTAAATCTAACAGCCGAACAGCTAGTGGCTATAAGCACTACTAAGGATGAACACTTTAAGGAAAGAGTATCTTATACATATTAAATGACTTATAAATCAAGATATACTTTTTTAACAACAAATTATTTATTTAGGAAAATCACACGCTAGCAAACAAATTTAAAATTTGGACATTAGTGATCAAAATGATAAGCTCAGAGAGTTAACGGAAAAAAATAAGCAAAAAGATGAACGAATCGTAAGACAAATTTAAGCTAAATTATACAATACAAATTAACTATTTACATATTTTTTATTCATACAAATAGACATCACTTAAAGAACAAATTAAAGCACTGGCTCAAAAAGTATCAAACTTACAATTAGTAAGGCATTTCTTCATTAATTGTTTGTAAATAATTATTAATAGTTACAAAAATAATATTACAATTTTTTTTTAGGAAAACCCTGTTTTGAGCCTTAACAATGAAGAGTTTTAAGTGATTCATTGGGTTTAACAAATTGGATTCTATTATTGACCAATTAAGTTTGTTAAAATTAGGCAATAATGAGAAAAAAAACGTGAATATTGCAACAAACGTAAGTCATAATATTAACTTATAATTAAACAATATTACAATTAGTGAGATGAATGTTGGGGCACCACCAAATCCCAATATCCATTCCAATGGACATACCTGTAACTTCTAAGCAATAAAAATAAAAATTAGAATATCATATTGAAGGTCATAAAATCCAGATATGAACACGGAAAACTGTTTTTTCTTCAAAAAAATTAATTCGGTAATGAAAGAGGGTTAAGCAAGTAAAATATTTGAGGAGGCGAAGATTTGATAGGATCAACACAGTTCCAGGTGCACAGTTAATGTGAAAATTCACAAAAAATTCTTTGTTACATTGGTTCAATCCGATTCTGAATAGCATACCTCAATTTATTGAAGGTTTACCCAAATTTATATTTCTACTTTTTTTCCAAGATAGAAATGAAAATTTGAATTATATTGATATATAATAATCTTATATTCAGATAGTACCAGTGGCGGTTTTCCCGGGGAGGCAAGGAGGCGGTGCCTCCCTTGAAAATTAAGGAAACTATGTACTTAATATTGTTATTATGATGAGATATTTTGGTTTGCAATAAATATTTCCAATCAACAAATGTATACGAACAATAATTTTTGAAAGCGAAAAGAAAAATTTAAGAATTTGAAATAACGTCCTCCATATCAGCGGTGACCGTCTGAAAGCAACGGCCGCCGTCCGCCGGCCGCTGCCTGTTGTTACACACGTAGCATAAGGGCAGCCGGCGGAGGCGGCTGCCGCTAATATCTCACGTTATGTTTCTTGTGTTCACAACATACACACACACACATACATAAAATAATACGAATAGCGCATGCGCAATTCTCTAGGAGAGGCGACACAAACATATTGCCTTTGTGGGCAACTGACCGATAATCGTTCTTATCTTGGGGAAGAAATGGGCCATAGACATTCAGCATGTACATCAGCACAGACACTGCCAACAACAAAACGCCATTTCCCATTTCCCATTATCACTAAATCATTTATCAGCAGTCGCAATTTGACATCACTATATTTTTTAATTAATTCTGATACCGGTTTACTATTTGGCGTTTTATTTAGTTTTCTTAAGTTATTAGTTAATATATTGTTATACTTATTAGCTTTATTATTTTTTTTCAAAATGAATCCTGTATATGACAGAATAGTGGTTATTAAGCAACGTTCATACAGAAAATCGTTTGCGATTACAATTTCATCTTTTGTAAATTGTATTTACATATGTTTTTATGATTATACATTTATCTTAAATTCGTACATTTTAATGATAATTATTTTATTAGATCACAGGTAATGCGATTATAACTAATAAATAGGATAATAAGCAAAAGTCTTCTGTTACAGTTAAAAAGGGAAGTAGAAACAATATTATAAATTTTTAATTCTAGGAGTCATTGTTTTGATATATTATATATATATATATATATATATATATATATATATATATACTTAGACATAATTTTGATTCCAATAATCTGTGATTAACCAGTCAAAGTTGAAAGAGTAGACAATGTTTCATGTCTGGTCTTTGCAATACCCGATTACAACAATAGAGTAATTACGTTTATTCATTATGGCGTGGTTCCGCTTTTGTTCTTACAGTTTAGTTGGCCTGCGGTTTGACAACGATAAAGCGTAGTGTTTAGAAGAGTGGCTTCTAAATACTGAATAAATTTTTACCTAAAAATATAATGATCACGTATGATTACAATATTCGTGCACCGATGGTAATCTCAATTAAATAATTGTCGGTTACAGCAGCGAACAAAGTCAGTCTAACTCATTTGCGACAACAATATGCGACTATGGCAAAGAATACAAACAGTTAAAACAGTTTACTTATGTGCGCTCTAATCGGCCGGACCGGATAAATACAGAAAAAGCGATAACAGCGTAATTAATAGTTTTAGGTTTTCTTTTCGTTTTAGCTCTAACTGTCCATTTTATTTGACGTTTTACAATTATTGCTCTATCCTTAAAAGTTCTTTAGGCGGATAACTACTTCAAAAACATTTGTGAATTTAACAAAACTTAACGAATTTTAGTTATTTTTAAAAGTGTAAACATTTCATCTTTCGACTATTCACTGAACAATTTTTGTTTTGTTTTTTTCAGAACGCCGAAAAAATTGAGTAATGCTAATTATGCCTGTACTCGAATTGCACCCAAATTTAGTTGTTTGAGAGGGTACCTCAAGTCACACATATCACTCACAGTATTTTCGAAATTTGTATTAATTGTCCCGCTCTGGAAACGAGATCGAACCAAGGTTATACCAACAAAGTTGATCAATTTAGATAAATAAATGTTTTTATTTTTACTTTTTTTAAAGTGACTTATAAAAATAGTTTTTTAAAGACCTATGTGATTTAGTACTTGTTTTGCGATGACTCGTTCTGGGCCGGATTGCACTGCACCGACGGGGCGTCCGGTGTTCAGACAATGGGAAATACGACGCTATAGAAATCACAATAAAGATTATTATAGCTTATGCACACTGCTCAATTTGTATTAATTGTCCCGGTCTGGAATCGAGGTCAAACGGATATACCAACAAAGGGAACCCGTTGATAAATTGAAGGGTCGATGAATACTAGCGTTTCTCGCAGGATGGATTAATAAACGGCAATAATAGCCGGGACGACTTCGCCTGTCAAACAATTATTACTAGAGGGGTCGGCTGAGGTTTGTATCACACGCCAGTTTTGGCAACCGTCATTCGATCACGAAGGTTTTACTCGTTCGGTCGCGAATTTCTTTTGCACATTTTTAGTGAATTTCCCATCATAAAAACAGTTTCGTTTGTGTGTATTCGACAACGTCATCATGTTCAAAATCTATATTGTCTTATCGGTTGCACTGCTATTGCTTTCGTTGGACATTGGTACCGCCACGGGTGGATCTGGGCTTCAACACGAATATACTCACGACGACCATGTTTATGCCGTGCTATCAGCAAACGTTGTCAACTTTACCATCGTCGATAACAACCAATACGTCGAAATTACATTGTTAGTAGAAGGCGTAGGTCTCACGAAAGATGTAATGGTGCGTACGACTTCAGCTTTTAAGGGGCGTGGATCATTATGCTTCACAGATCAACAATATAAGTATGCCGACTCCGAGAGAAACTCGTTTAAAATAGTAAGTCCGACATTTATGTTTTTAATACTTTGAATATGAATAATATCGGCTAGTACATTTTTTAAATACCATCGTACCCGTAGAGCATTACTTTTAACAAAACAATTCCAGTTAGTTTAATACTAATATACTGTTCGTTCATAAGATATAAAAACGTATAATAATATTTTTTAGTCAGTAGTTTCGTTAGGTCTAGTTTAGATGACAGTTGTATTGATAAAATACGTTGGTATACGCTTTAAACACTTGGTCGTACTGTTAAACGTAAAAATGCTGTGCTTGTGCGTTACGTTTTATTTTTCGTTATGAATTTCGAAAGATTTAGTTATCTCAATATGTAGTTAAAAAAAAAATCAAAAATTAATTCTAAAAAGTCAAAAACATTTTTTATAATTCAAATTATATTATGTAGCATTATAATTGACGTCTTATTGTAACAAAAGAAAATATAACATTTGTATATGATATTAGGCCCTCAGATCTCGTCAGTGGCCTTCGCCCTATCCTTTATAAATATAAATATATATATATATATGAATATTAATTGTAATACTCTTGATTATTTTTAGTTGCAAGCTAATGGTACACGAATGTATTTAACCAACAAGTTGAAGATCGATGAAAATGTCGTGGAAGGAAAGTTGTTCCTGTGCCTTAACAGACCACGGTTATCGACCAGAAATTCGTCACATGGTCGTTGGGTACATCAGGGTGATTTTGGTTGGATCGTCTGGCCTGTACCACCGATGTATCTGTTTAGTAGATATGCATACGAAGTGTGAGTATGTTATAGATAAACTTTACAGTAGTAGTATTTCACTAATGAGTGAAATAGTAACGCATTAAGTTACTTAAGGAATATTAAATAATTACCAAGTTCAAATAATATCTTCCTGTTTTGGTGATAATTATTTGTTGATCAAGAAAAGTTTAACTTTCCGTAAAGGTAATTGCAAAAAATCCGTGACTCCGATTCCGAAAAGCTGGCTATTTTATTATTTCAATTTATATTGAAAATTGACGATTATTATTCAAGACAATTTTTTAATTTAATTGTCATTTCCATACCTGTTATTTAACCTAATCGCATAGGATTGAACCTGGGCAATTTTTATTTAAATATCAAGTTGTTTGAAATTATTACTTGAACATCTATTTGTTAATATAATGCTCAGGTTCGATTACAATATTCGTGCACCGATGGTAATCATTAATCTTGATTAAATAATTGTCGGTTTACAGCACTGAACCTGCAAGTGAATCTAACTCATTTGAGACAACAACAAGCGACTATGGAAAAAAATACAAACATCGCGGTAACAAGTTACATTTTTTAAATGACACGGCTTGGTCCTATACAAAAATGAACCGGACGAACACTTTAGTCACCGCTAATGGCCTCAGGTGCAAATTCCTCGTCAAAGCCGTTAAAAAGGTAGACTTTTTTTACGCTCGAGTCTCGTTCAGTCAAACATCAGAAAACTATCAGATTCAATAAATTAACTCATATACGTTTTTAACAATCACCTTTTTTTCAGCCAAACTTATTGGACGACTACAGCAAGTCGGAGCCCTCAAACCTTCAGCGTGATACAGTTTATTTATGTGAGCACTAGTCGGCCGTAGCGGATAAATACAGAAAAAGCAATAATAGATGTAAGTAATGGTTTTAGGTTTTCTTTTCGTTTTAGCTGTAACTGTCCATTTTATTTGACGTTTTACAATTATTGCCCTATTCTTAAGTGTTCTTCAGGCGGTTAACTACTTCAAAAATATTTGTGGATTTAAAAAAAAATTAACGAATTTTAGTAATTATTTAAAAGTGTAAACATTTTAAAATCAAAAGAGAAGAAGAAAAGGGGGTTTAAAAATACCGTTTATGCACCTTTATTTTATACAGCTGATTAATAATATAACTTCATTCACTGAACAATTTTTGTTTTTTTTTTCAGAACGCCGAAAAAATTGAGTAATGCTAATTATATGCCTGTACTCGAATTGCACCCAAATTTGTTTGAGAGGGTACCTCAAGTTGCACATATCACCTAAATTTTTTTTAGAAATTATATTCACTATTAAACTATATGCACGACTATTTTGCACTTATTCTAAAAATCGATATTATTATAATTTTATGGAATTATAAATATAAAATTATTATACTTATTCGGTGTGTAATGTCAAAAATATATATTGAGTAAAAATAATGCCTTATACTTGTATTTATTTAACTAATCTAATTATAATAGAAAATTATAAAACAGATTCACATTAAATATTTTTAAAGATTGCAGCATTCACAAGGAAACTATAACAATTGAGAAAAATTGTTTGTAAAGACGATCCAGGTGATTTAAACCAAATATTTACTTCTTTTACATGTTTATCAAAGAATAGATAACATTAAGTAGGTGTTATTGTATTTAAATTAATTAAGTAAGGATAACCAGAACATGTTTTGAAACAATCGTCATTAAATATTTCAAAAAAGGTTCTGTATTTTATATAAAAGTATTCGGTATTCGGTTTCTAAAATAATATTCACAAACGATATTGAAATTTACTCAATCAGTGTTAGCTTTACAAGTAGATCAATGTACAATACAAATGTTTTGCATACAATCAAATTGTAAACATCACAGTAAGTTTAGTTTTTATGACTTTGTATTAGTCTATAGAAATGCATAATGTATTATGCATTCATGTAGTAAACATCAGTTGAGTATTTACGAAAAAAAAAAATTATTGGAAGATGAAGTGGCATACTTTATCTTACATTTTTTTTTTTCAGAACGCCGAAAAATTTGAGTTATACTAATTATGTCTGGACTCAAATTGCATCCAACTTTAGTTATTTGAGAAGGTACCTCAAGTCACACATATCACTTACAGTTTTTTAGAAATTTTATTCACTATTAGACTTCATGCACAAATTCAACTCATTCTAAAAATCAATTGTTATAATTTTATAAAATTATAAATGTAAAGTTAAATATTAAGTAAATATAAAATATAATTATAAAGTTAAATTAGGTGTGTTATGTCAAGAATATATCTTCGATGGTTGGTCAAAACGTGATAAGTCAAAATTATCAACTTTTCAGGAGGATTATCTAAACATTCACAAGTTCCATGTAGATCCAAGTTCCATGTAAATCCAAGTTCCATTATAAATTGCATAATAGATGCACACAAAATATGTGTAAAGAATGCATTATGCAATATTCAACTAGGATACTATAACAATAATATTCATCTTATATATATTTTTAAAAATGACATACAAACTTGCCCGATATATTTTGGTTTTATATATTTAACTTTAAGGACCGAACCCCACACGACTTAAAATTTCCTGATCAAGCTACCCAATTCTACAAAAACTTCCACAACAACACTTTTAATCACCAAAATCCACTAATATCTAAATTATCTTTCCTCTCTCTCCCTGACAACCCCCGATGCCACCTTAAGCGTAAATGGCTCAGAGATCTTCTCAACCCAAAAGTAAATATATAAATTAAAAATAAAAACCACACCACACACTAGTTAAATAAAACATTAACTTACACATCTGAAGTAGTGTCAATGGACGCCCCCTTCGATTAAGTCGACCAGCTTTGTAAATAAATTAGCCCTAATATTTCACTTATGGTATTTATAAATATAGATTGTAAATATTTTCAAATAAAAAAAAAAATTTAAACAAACTATTTAAAAAATGCAAAAAATCCAGGTCAAACCAAAGTTATTTTTTCAACCATTTTTTAAAAAAATTACTATTTTGTTTTTTTTTTCTTGTACTAGTTTTCTATTATTCTTTAATTGATAATCGTTACAATTAAAGATATAAAATTGCAATGATTTAATTTATTAAAAAACTGTTTGTCCACTGGACACTGGACTCTGTCGATCTTCTTGAACACACAAATCTTGCAAACCAATGCTATAGGTTACAAATGAAATTGGTCCTGGTAACAAACAACTTTTAAATATTACATAATGATTTCTACAATATTCGCATATACTACTATATAAGGTTATACTATATTTATTACTTATAACATACTTATATTCTCAGACCCAAATACACAATATTAATTATATTCAATATAACGACTTAAGTTAAATTGCTTCTATGTTAACTTAAGCTTGTTTGTTTAATAACAAATAGTGAGTAACAAATGTAAATTTATAGTATATTAAAAGTCAATACCTATATTATAATATTTTAACAATATGCAGTGTGTTAAAGAGGTCAGCCGTTATATTTTATTTTAAAAAAATTACTTTTTTTATAAAGTGTAACAATTCATATGTTGTTTATTCAAGACTGTAGTAAAGACAATGGGTAAACTAAATTTCAATTTACTGTTCAGCAGATCACAATTGATTAAGAGAAGTTTAATCAAATATGTGTAATCCGGAATAATTATCGTTTACAACAGCGAATGGTGAAGTATACGGTTAACTAAAATACAAAGCCGACAATAGTTTTTAACTCTTGGCTACCAACAACCTTGATAAAGCCTCGTTTTTTTACATTTAAGGTTTAATATACATATAAATTTATTTCCATTTCAACATATTGTGCAAGTCGGCTCAGGTTGACACCCATTGTAATTGACCAAAAAATGTAAACCGTATTTGTTATACATTATAATACGTGACATTTGGTAATGTCATATTTCTTATTACCTTTAACACGGACAAGACTATACGAGTACACCATTTCATGTCCGGTATGTTAAAAATGTACAAGTCATAATATAAGGTTTTTTTATTATATTTGTACGAACAGTATACCGTATTTACACCACATGCACATTGGCTTTAACAAAAAAGATGTAATAGCATAAAAGCTTTCTTTTCGACAAAGACCAGTGTTTTTTTGTTTTTATTAAGTACTGAATCATGTCAACAACAAAGTCACCGGTCTATCGGGACTCAAAAAACGTACAATACGAAATACTAGCCGGCATCTGCACTAACTAAAATCCGTAAGTTACTTTGTTCGTTGTATTTTTGTGTACTGTTAGGGCCCTAGGGGGGATACAACCCACGTATACCCACCTCCCCGTAAGTCCGCCACTGGTTCTCAGTTATATGACCATTAAGACAATTACAATTTCAGTCTAAATAAAAATCAAATTAAAAAAAAACATACTCCCGTGTACCCTTTTAAATGAATAATTTCCAATCGGTCACGCAATGTTTGCGGAATAAATGTCACTTTTCAATAAATATATATAGTTTTATTAATCGTTTAATGTCCAGTCTTCTTATAAAATATTTACTGTTGATAGTTAATTAATTTTTCTAACAGCGATAGAGTGAAATATTCTTTGTTTCAAATTGCACATACCATAATTGGTAAACCTGCACAATCTCTATAAAATTGTTTTATTTAAATTACGAATATACAAAACCAATAATTAATTAAATTTATTAATTTAAATAATTATAAATAATTCTTGTTTTTGTCAAGTCAAGTGTCTCATCACTAAATTTTCACATGGAAATTCAAATTAAAACCATGTGACTTCTGTACCGTTTCAGATGGCACGCATTAAGGTCAGTACCGCTAGGCCGGAAACCCGGGAATAGCGGGAACGGCGCACAGTGCCCAATTTTCCCGCTCTAGTTGGACAAAACTCATCTTCCGCTATTGAGAATTTCGATAACAATTATCATTAATAGGAAGGTACTAAACAGTAATACGTGTATATTTATCAAATATGGTCGTTAATAAGGTCAGGAGCACGGCACAAAGACAGGTTTGAATAAACGATCCAGCTATCGTAGGATGCAGTCTTTGCTAGTCTGATTCGCCTTTCACTGGCGTTCCAAAGCACTTTTTCGATTCGTCCAGGATGTTGTATAGTCGAGGAAGATCTAGTCTTTCAAGAAAATGATTACTCAAAGCAATAATGTTAGTTGGGCGTAAATACCGTTCGATTAGCGTACATTTATCAGTTGCAAATGTTCTGCTCGACTAAAGTAATATTTTTACGTCATCGACCGGACATTTCACTTCTGTAAAATGCAACCTAAACAATTTATTAACAAGTGTTCAACCGCGATTGAAAATGAGGATCTGGAGGTAACGTTGTCGTCTCGTCAAGAGTTTGTTGAAGCGTTCGGTTTGCCCGACGGTGGCTTTGGTGTGCGTGGTCCAGACGGCATACTGCACGATCCGTTTACTTACCTGGACTATGGAACTGAGTCTGCCGAGGATGAAACCGACGAAGAAACCAGCGAGGAAGAGGAAGAAGAGGAGTACGACACCGATGAGTCTGAAGGTATTTATTTAAATTATATTTTACACCGTATACCTAAAAATCGAATTTTATCACCCAACTGATGGCTACTCGTTTCCTGTATTTCTTACTAAACTACAAAATCAAATTTATAATTTGTATTTTATATTTTTAGTGCTCATTACCGATGGAGATATGGAAAGGAGAATACGTTCGTCTGAAATATCGTTAGAAGACTTTCCGTGGCCGGGTAGCTCTTACAACCCTAAGGACACTCTATTCAGATACCTAGCCGCCATTGGACGCAAGTCGCTCACTAGCGTGCGGTGACCCGGTCCTTTGTTACCGCCTAATACGCTACAGGACGCTTAGGTACATTTTCTATGGTCCAATGGGTTCGGTCGGGTTTAACACGGGGGACCTAGTGCGGGCTAATTTGTTTTTGTTACTCCATGGAGGAGATTCTGCTTTTTCCTCAATCGCTGGCAAAACAATTTTGTATGGGATAATTACCGAGTGGCGACCATGCGCATAATCTTACCCTCGGGGAGGGCAATAACTGTTGTAATACTATACATAAATATACTTTCAGAGTGCGAGTAGTGATGATAATCAAGTGTTCAACACAAATAATGTTATTACAATAATAGATATATTATACATAGAATATATACAACACAGTGAAACAATAATACACTAGTAATATGTATAAACTGAATAGAAATACTGAGCCCCGAGCCCTTAGATCAAATGCTTTTTATATTAACCCACAAGGTTGCACGCGTCTACACATACACGTGTGCTTACAAAAACAACTTTGTTTTTCTATAACATTTCCTGGTTAACAACTACGTATTTTTATTATACAGATAAACAACATATTTGTATATTGTGAAATACTTCTTGATTTATAGAATATTAATTATTATTCCAACAATAACGCGTCGTTTTCAGTTTGTATGTAATACGGAGAGATCGGGGTACCTCAATCCTGAGGCTACCTTTGTGCGTGTGGTTTCGGCTACCCGGGAAATACCCAATCAAATTAGATTAATTCATGAATTATCCCAGTTTAAGACGTGTGAGGGTTGCGGCGCTGGACTGCAAATCTGGCTAAGCCAATCGGATGTTTTTGCCGTGGAAGAGCATTTTAACGATGTCCCCTCACACAATAATATTATATTCAACCTATTTAATAGACTTATTAATTAGTCAATTAATTTATGTCGATTTCCTGTGTATGTATTTTTTTTTTTTTTTATTAATCTGTAAATTTTTTCTATGTACATATTAAAACCCAATTTTATACTAATATTTGTATGTTTTTTGTTTTATTTTTATTTATATATATATATATTTTTTTTTCTCCCGTTATTGTTAATATTAAAACTCAATTTTTATAATGAAATAATGCAAAAAATATGTTTTTGTTATAATGATAATGACATAATTATTAACGAAATTACTGGTTTTCTTTACATTTATTTGTTTTACTTTTTATTGCTACTTCATCTACTAATACTAAAAATAACAATAATGACTTAGAGTATGGTTAACTACAATATCGTATAATTAATAACCATTAAACATAATAGTAATAATATTTTTGTTTAGTGAACGGTTATAATACATTATTATTTTTTGTAACACGTTTTACTTATATAAAAAACATTTTAAATGTTATGATATGCGTTTCAAAGAATTTAGATTTAATTATAAAAAAACTTTTTGCAAATTTCGCCTACCGTAACAGCAACTGAATTATTTGATCTAAAAAAGAAGAAAAATCGTAAACAAGCACCAGAAGATAAATTCTTCATTGTTTTTATTTTAAATACAATTTTGTAGTAGGTAAGGAAACCTATTTTATTTTCTATCAAGATGCTATAAATATTAATAAATTATTATTAATAATAATTAATAATTCTTCATTTTTTCTTCATTGTCTGCACAAAACATTTGTTAGGAATAAAAAAAAATAGTATTACTGCTATAGCAGTATTATAACTTTTGTGTCATATGTACATCACATATTTGATGTAATGGGACACTACTGCTGTAGCAGTACTAAAACATTGATTTATTTAGGCATGTTTTATATAATTATTGATAATCCTCACTGTCCGTCAATGTGTTAACATGAATTTTCAAAATTTGTACAACACTTTTACAGCATGTCTATTGAGATATGTAATTTTGATATCTTAAACAATTTTTAAAAAAAATACTTAAGAAAAAACATGTTTTTGTTTAAGACCTCTTAAAAAGCTAATTAAATTTTAAAAATATTACCAGGAGTCGATTTGGATTTTGGCAAGTTAATTTCATCTGAGCTGAAAGTACCTATAAAAAATTGTTTCTTAGTAACATTTGTGTAATTGTATGTTACTAAAATAAATATTGAACAACAGAATGAAATTTAATCATAATTTAAATGTTTGCATTTACAACAAATACAATTCATCATAATTATTACTAAATTGTTGGATTCTACCAACTATAGTGTACAGATAATACTACTACTTATAAAAAATGTTGAGCAGACTTGCTGAAAGATCAACATGGGTAGAAAAAGAAGTTTATCAACAACACCTGAATAATGTTTGTGTAGTTTGTTAAATAATCATTAACAAAGGTAAATAATGTTATTTTTGTTTATTAGGTCGAAAACGCAACCCCTAAGGTGGACAACAAAGCACCTATACTTAATGTCGGAGCTTATTATCAAATAGGGAAAATGGAACGAAATGCAATGCAATTAGCACGCTTAGAAGAAGATAATTTTAAACTAATTAAGAGTATTAACATTATCAATCGCACAAAGGTGTATTTATCAACATAGTATACATACATATACCATAAAATAATACATTAAACATAATTCCTTTAAAATTTTAAACATTAATCTTTGTTCTTTAGGGGAAAGTTGATTGTTATAAACCAGTTTCAATGGACAAAAAGAAAAATAACTTTGAAGCTCAAATTATAAGAAATCGTAAACTGTATAAGGACAATATAGAGATTCTGACAAAAATAGTTTATGCAGTATGTACATCATACATGGAAATCGGGTTTTATTTCTTAACAGATATTTATATAATCAATTATTTTCTACAAAGAAGCCACAACTGAATTTTAGTGAACTTAAAAAGTTTCAAGAAGAACATAAGAAAAGACTACTGTTTATGACTAAATATCCAGAGTATTATGAAAAAAAAAATAGCATGAATGCTAATAACGATAAAATAATTCCAAAAGTGGCATTACCTAAAGATATTGAAATAATAAAATCAAAGTAATTACAGCAGACGACATTATTTATATAGTTTTTAAAAATAATTATTAAGATATCTTAAAACATAATATTTTATTAGGTGTTTTTTTGATATCAAAGATGCAACTATTAACAAGTATTTGGGTCGTCTCAAAATTGAAATATACGATAGTGTTGTACCAAAAACCGCCCAAAACTTTAAAGCTCTATGTAGTAATGAAAATAAATACTCATATCAAAATACACAGTTTTTTCGCATAGTCCCAGGATTATTTTGCTTAGGAGGCGATGTTGAATTTTCTATTGGATTAGGTGGAGTGTCAATTTATAATGAAAATTTTAGTGATGAAAACTACATTCTTAGTCATAATGCGCCTGGTAATATAAATATACTATTTTTAAAAATTCAAATGTGTAAATTTTAATTACTGATGTGTCACAATGTTTTGTCAGGTGTTTTATCAATGTATAATTTTGAGAAAGATAAGAATAATTCTCAATTTCTTATAACATTTAAACCATTGAACACATTAAATGGGAGATATGTTGTTTTTGGAAAGGTTGTTGATGGACTGAGAATTTTAAAAACAGTAAGTATATAAAATATATAAGGTACAATAATACACTGGAAGTGTATAATTGACTATAAATAAATAATATAAAAATAATCATATTTTTAGATAGAAAATTTTGGGCTTCCTACTGGTAAACCGAAGCGGAAAATTATTATTAGCAAATGTGGAATCCAATAGAATAACAGGAATTAAGAATCAATCGCTTATTCCGACAGAAATTTAAGAAAAATGACCAAATAACAACAAAATAAAACTTACTCGCTGTCATCAGATTTACTGTTATTTCTTATTACTGTATCCAGTTGTACAATTTTATCACGTCTTTTATATAGGCTATACCAGTAATGGGGGCCTTTATCCTCAGAAGTTTCACTATCTTTAACTTCCAATTGTATTTCATCGTGAACTTTGGGCATTCTCGTGATAACAAAAGACTTCTTTTGGAACGTAAACTGTCATCACTTTGACTATCTGAATCTTTCTGCTGGTTTTCTAAAACCTCATTAGTATTAAGTAATCTAGCTAATGACGGATTAAACAAACTTAGTTATTTATTTTCTACAAAAATGCAATGTTATTAATTACAGTAAGACTCTGAAGAAGATATTTTATTCTATATCATACAATAACTACACACATGTTTAATCACGAGTGTGAAACTAGCAATTCCATTTTAGCAATTTTTGATAACAATTTCCCGCGTGGACCGCGGTGGTTACCGGCTGGTGACCTACACAATATCGTGATATCTACCGCTAGAGGCCGCACCATATACCGTCCGGTCACGGCTGCCAGGCCCGGGCGACGGATCCATCGCCGCGCTTTATGCCGCAACCCCGGCCGGGCAAATACATCACCACCGCGGACCGCCGCGCGGCGGCTACGGTCGCGCCGCCAACAACAATCTACGACTCTCTACCGCTCGCGGTAGCCGAGCCCCCGGAAACCGCACAGACCGCCGCGGCCTGGCCTGGCGGCGACGGTTCCATCGCCGCTACCCCAGCAAACACGACACCACCGCCCGCGCGGCCGACCCCGATCAACGACTCTCCCTACCGTCCCGCGATAGCCTAGCACGCAGCGACGGCTCCATCGCCGCAGCCCGGCAAACACGATACCACCGCCGCGCGGCGGCTACGGTTGGACGTTCGCGCGGCCGACATCGAGCAACGACTCTCCCTACCGTTCTGCGGCTAGCCATGAGGCCGAACAACTACGGCCGGGTCGCTCGACCACATACGCCCCGTGCAGCACTGCTGTCGCATTCAATAATTTATTAAAAATATAACCCAAGTCGAGTGCATCTCCAAACTATTTTTCCTATATAGGAAATTTTATAAGCTTTTTAAATATAATATTTTCATACCTGGACTCGGCCCGGAATAATTTTTTTCAGACGAAAAACCACGGCCGGGTCACACTACGATTGTCGGCCCGGACAGCACTGCTGTCGCATTCAATAATTTATTAAAAATATAACCCAAGTCGAGTGCATCTCCAAACTATTTTTCCTAAATAGGAAATTTTATAAGCTTGTCATATATAAACAACCACAACTTATCAATTTTGTTAACTTAAATAATTTTTAGCAAAAATGTTACACTGATATATTTTATATAAAATATTACGTCTACAGTTAAGGTTTTATACAATTTTATAATGGTTAATTAAAAAAAAATTTTATCAAAATATCTACAGTATTTGGAAAAAATGCATTCATTTAGTTTTATTCCAATTTAGAATAATGAATTTATGAATGATTATTAATTTTTTGTATAATATAATTTTAAAATAAATAAAAATGTTAATTATTGTTGACTTGCGTTTAATCATATTTGGGGATTCAGGGGAACTAATCTTCAATCATAGGTGTCCCAGGCTGTAATGGGTCCTGGGGTCCCCACAACCCTGATTTCGGCCCTGACTGTATCATTTGAAATACCAACCCATTATAATTGATACAAAAATACGGTGCGGCTACATGATTATGTTAAATATTGTAAAGTTCTCGCAAGTTCGTGGCCTTTGAGTACTTGTACACAAAAGGTTGAAGATGGTTTTGAAGGTTTTAAAAAAATGAAAAGAAACTCTCAAAGACAAAAATAAAGTAAGTATTTGTAATTTCAACGTGTATAAGTTTAGTGTACAAAACAGTAATCGTGAGTGTTATTGTTGTAGGTATCAAATACGCAGCCAAGAACACTCTGAGGCTCCCATGGCGAGGCGGCTCGTATTTACGTCAAATGGCCGTCCGATCGTCGTGGAAGGAGTCGTCCTTTGGCGGCTCGTTGACCTCTCCCAAGTGGTGCAATGGCCAATCCTCGAGTCCGGGTTGCGGGTGAATGGCTGAGCTGTTCATTGTTAATTGTGGAACATTGTCGGATAGTTGATTTATTAAAATGGCTTATTCGTGTGTTTTTACAATCTCTTTTTGTACAAAGTATATGATTTCTTATAGTGTATAAATAAATCGGTTTTTACAATTTATAATTGGAGTTTACAATTTATGCCATGGTTTTACCCTTTGGCTAGGTACAGAGTACACGATTTCTTATAGTTGTATGAATACATTGGTTTTTTACAATTTATAATAGGATTTTACAATTTATTACGTTGTTTTACCCTTTGGGCTACAAAGTAGAGAAAAAACCCATTTAGGTCGTGCATTATTAACGTTCGAGGAGAAATCGGTTATTTAGTTAATTGTAGTAATCCATTACACCTTCCTTCCAAAAAGGAGGTATATTGTACATCCGTAAACGATATACCTTCTTCATCATTGATTACGTGTTTGTGTATCATTACATATCATTGAAAATTACATTAGTTATAAAAGTTATACATTATAAGATTATACATTTTATAGTTATACATTTGAGTACATAGTGAATATAGTAGGTTAATGGTTAGTATTACATATAAATTTTTTTTTTTAAACATTTAAAATTATTGATTAGTATAGATTAGTATTTAACATCAACTACAATTTATATATCTATTATTATTTTTTTTTCATAATTTTTCAATTACAATATATATCTTTTCATCAAGACACAATACAATATATATATATATGTTTTTTTTTCAAAGTACAATTACAATATTTTTTAAGTAATGAATTACAATATTTTTTTTTTTAAAGTACAATTACAATTTATTACCATAGATAATATCTTCAGTTAATTTAGAATCTATAACAAAAGGAACTTTACCATTTATAATGATTGACCGTGTTACAATCTTATTAATTATTATTAATCATAATCTATTTGACGCTGGTGTGTGTCCTTGAGCTCGGTGTGAGAAAAAACAAGTCCTGCCTTCTCTTGAACTATTGCGGAACAAAACACTTTTGTCTTCATTAAACGAGGTACGAGCAATTTATTTTATTTTTTTTTTCTCGAGGAAAGCCAGACTCGACCAAGACAGGGCCATACCAGTTCGGTGTGAAGAGAGACAAATCCTGTCTCCCTTAGAACTTTTTAGGCACAGCCTAGTCTATGGTCTCGTCTACGGTGTAATCCATGTTGGGTAGCACCCCTGTGATTTGTGATATTAGAAAATCTTTGTCTTGGATGGCTATGACAATTGCCATGCTGGTATTGTATGGTCTTAGCCTATTAAAACGATCCCTAAATGCAGCCTTAAATTGGGTTTCGGTACGTTTAAGGAAACTATCGGGAAAATCAATGGTATTTGCCTCTACCAATATATCCCAAAGTGTGCGCCTCATTTTATGTATAGTGCAGTTTTCAAATGCTATTCTTAACACTTTAGTGAAGTAATTTACTTTATCTGATGTGTTTTTATATTCAAAAACCGAATCTAATAAGTTGTCCCCATCTATTGCGGAGATAACAAGTGCCATTGAGATGTTGTATGGTCGTAAAGGTCCATAAAGTTCCCTCATTAATTTTGTAATATCTTTTTCGACGCTTTTTAAATAATAGTCATCAAATTTTATAATTAGATTTGAGTTTACTTCAGCTATTATGGTATTTAATGAATGTTTGGGCGCTAAAGGGTTGGTACAATTGTTTAAAGCAAGTTTTATTACTCGTTTCAAAAAGATTATACGGGGATTGCTCGTACTCATTGTAATGTCTAATGTATTAATTCTAATGTAAGTAGGAAAGGTTTCCATTACCTAAAACATTAAAACATATATTTTTAGAATCAAATGTTAGTGATACTTATATAATTACTTAATTTTATGTTAGTCACTATACTACAGTCTTTTTTTGTTTTTTCTCTTATTGTTTTTCTTTTTCCTTAACCTAGGCATATCTTTAATTAAACGGTAAAATTTTATGGGTCTTAATCTATTAATTATATAATTTAAAACACAGCGGGAAGCAATTGTGTCAAAAATAGGATTATGGTAATTCATGTGGGAGGGGTGTGTTTCTGTACACGTTAACTCGTGGGCTTCCCGTAGGTTCAAATCTCTTCCCCCTTTTTTTACTTCCCCCAAGTACTCATCGTAATATATCTTCCCGGTATCCATGTTTATAAGTTTTAAATTGAACCGCCCGTCATTGTTATTATCCCAGGCGGTCATATTTAGATACTTGTAGATATTAGTCACTCCAAACTGTTTCAATATTTTATAATCATGGCTACCGTTCCAAAATACTACGATAGGCTTTCGTGAACCTTTATGCAAATATTTTGTAATGGAGGGTAACGTCATTGTTGAGGGCCCTGTTTTGACACAACCCCTTGTTCAACTCATTTAATAACGAGTCGAACGCTGGTTTGGTAGCTTTAAATCTATTACACTGCCTTATTAATGACTTGAGTTCCTTTTGAGTAGCTGGTCTAGGCGCACAATGAGTGGTTACTACTATGGGAAATCCCGATAGTTTCACAGGAATGTTGTTTTTGTGCGTCGACAGCAAACACCCCGACACAGCGATGTACTCACTGTGTGCTTTTGGTAAGAACTCAAAGTCAGCAACAATGATTTTTACGTTGGCACTAAAACAGGTTTTATTACATTATTACAGATATTATACGTGCATTGATCGTCCTTCACCGTGGTTATTTTAATATTTAAATTACTATGCTAGACTTATAAAACTACTTTCTATCTGATTTATTACTAATATTTTACATGGGTATTTCCTCGTCGGCGTGCACAGCTGGCCCGATCCTATTGGCTCGTGCTCGCCTTA